ACCAGCATGGCTACCACAGCATTCTGCAGCGATACGCCATCCCGTCTGGTTTGGGCTTAGTGGGACTATCATTTGTTTTTCAACAGGACAATGACCCAACACACCTCCTGGATGTGTAAGGGCTATTTTACCAAGAAGGAGAGTAATGGAGTGCTGCATCAGATGACCTGGCCTCCACAATTCCCCGACCTCAACCAAATTGAGATGGTTTGGGATGAGTCGGACTGCAGAGTGAAGGAAAAGCAGCCAACAAGTGCTCAGCATATGTGGGAACTCCTTCAACTGCAGGAAAAGCATTCCAGGTGAAGCTGGTTGGGAGAATGCCAAGATTGTGCAAAGCTGTCACCAAGTCAAAGGGTGGCTATTTGAAGAATCTCAAATATAAAATATATTTAGATTTGTTTAACACTTTTTTGGTTACTACATGATTCCATATGTGTTATTTCATACTTCTGATGTCTTCACTATTATTCTACAATGTAGAAAATATTAAAAATAAAGAAAAACCCTTGAATGAGTAGCTGTTCTAAAACTTTTGACCAGTAGTGTATATATTGCAAGTGAATCTTGGCCAAGAAAGTAGAGTACAAATGTGTAGAGGACAGCACATTGTTTATATTTACCAGCTTGAGTGTAGAGAACAGCCTCTTCACATCAGCAGTTTGGACTGGGGCTGTTAGAGCCATGGCTGCAGCCAGGCTGAGAGCAGGGAACAGGTCACTGACATCAGGAGCCACCAGCCACAGGAGAACCTCCTCCAGACTTTTAGACTGTAACATGCAAATCAGATGAAGATTTGATACACCAATAATTTTGAATTCAACATGATTTTATTAATATCTTTGTGATGTGTCTCAAACCTTTAAATCTGGACTCTTCACCCTCTCCACATATGTGTCCCATTGTCCAAGGAGATTGTCTTCTCTCAGTCTAGGGAAGTATTTTGCGAGGACACGCATCTCCTCAATCCCATAGTCAGGGTCAGTGCTGTTGAGGATGTTATTTGGGGTAAACACAATGAAAGGACCCAAAGTCCCCATGTTTGGGAAGCGGCATTCAACGTTCTCGACAAGCATGTCGTGGAATTGGTACATCACCTACAATGAAATGAATACATTATTCATCAAGGTACGACATGTGCTACAGTAAGCAAACATTACTGTTAGGTTTTATTCTTACAGTTCTCTGGAACCTATCCCAGACAACATTTTTGAAGTAAGATGGGATCCTGTCTCAGACGATCCCGCAGGTGAAGAAGCCGGATGTGGAGGTCCTGGGCTGGCGTGGTTACACGTGGTCTGCGGTTGTGAGGCCGGTTGGATGTACTGCCAAATTCCCAATACAAATATTTAATATTATCAGAATTTTCGAAATGCACATATAGGGTTATTCGTTGCAGGGGTTCACAATTTTTATCAAATGGCTACATTATGAAAGACCGTCCTAAAGACATGCGAGGGAAAACAATGGCAACAATTCAAGAATGCAGAGCCCATAAGTGACATACAGTGCATTCGGAAAGTATTCAGACCCCTTGACTTTTTCACATTTTGTTACGTTACAGCCTTATTCTAAAATAGATTTTATATTTTTTATGTCCTCATCAATCTACACACAATACCCCCATAATGACAAAGCGAAAACAGGTTTTTAGAAATATTTGCAAATGTATTAAAAATTAAAAACAGAAATACCTTATTTACATGAGTACTGAGACCCTTTGCTATGAGACTCGAAATTGAGCTCAGGTGCATCCTGTTTCCATTGATCATCCTTGAGATGTTTCTACAACTTGATGGGAGTCCACCTGTGGTAAATTCAATTGATTGGACATGATTTGGAAAGGCACACACCTGTCTATATAAGGTCCCACAGTTGACAGTGCATTTCAGAGCAAAAACCAAGCCATGAGGTCAAAGGAAGTGTCCGTAGAGCTCCGAGACAGGATTGTGTCGAGGCACAGATCTGGGGAAGGGTACAAACATGTTTCTGCAGCATTGAAGGTCCCCAAGAACACATTCTTAAATGGAAGAAGTTTGAACCACCAACACTCTTCCAAGAGCTGGCCACCCTGCCAAACTGAGCAATTGGGGGAGAAGGGCCTTGGTCTGGGAGGTGACCAAGAACCCGATGGTCACTCTGACAGAGCTCCAGAGTTCCTCTGTGGAGATGGGAGAACCTTCCAGAAGGACAACCATCTCTGCAGCACTCCACCAATCAGGCTTTTATGGTAGTGGCCAGACGGAAGCCACTCCTCAGTAAAAGGCACATGACAGCACGCTTGGAGTTTGCCAAAAGGCACCTAAAAAGACTCTCAGACCATGAGAAACAAGATTCTCTGGGCTGATGAAACCAAGATTGAACTCTTTGGCCTGAATGCAAAGCGTCACTTCTGGAGGAAACCTGGCACCATCCCTACGGTGAAGCATGGTGGTGGCAGCATCATGCTGTGGGGATGTTCTTCAGCGGCAGGGACTGGGAGACTTGTCAGGATCGAGGGAAAGATGAACGGACCAAAGTACAGAGATATCCTTGATGAAAACCTGCTCCAGAGCGCTCAGGACCTCAGACTGGGGCGAAGGTTCACCTTCCAACAGGACAATGACCCTAAGCACACAGCCAAGACAACGCAGGAGTGGCTTCGGGACAAGTCTCTGAATGTCCTTGAGTGGCCCAGCCAGAGCCCGGACTTGAAACCGATCGAACATCTCTGGAGAGACCTGAAAATAGCTGTGCAGCGACACTCCCCATCCAACCTGATAGAGCTTGATAGGATTTGCAGAGAAGAATGGGAGAAACTCCCCAAATACAGGTGTGCCAAGCTTGTAGCGTCATACCCAAGAAGACTCGAGGCTGTAATCGCTGCGAAAGGTGCTTCAACAAAGTAAAGGGTCTGAATACTTACGTAAATGTGATATTTCGTTTATTGCAAAAGTTTCTAAAAAACGTTTTTTGCTTTGTCATTATGAGATATTGTGTGTAGATTGATGAGGGGAGAAAAAAAACAATTTAATCCATTTTAGAATAAGGCTGTAATGTAACAAAATGTGGAAAAGTCAAGGGGTCTGAATACTTTCTGAATGCACTGTATGCTCATATTATTGAACATGTAGTGGGTCTCCCCTTCTACAGTCTGTTTAGGTACACACACACTTCACATACACCTCCCACAACATTCATGCTGTCCCCTATTCCACTCTGGGCTCGTGTGGGTGGAACAGGCTTTGGTTTGTGGACCGCTGTCTGTGTAAGATCGCATGTCCCCCTTTTTATTGGAGAGAGAGAGCCCCACGGTGGCAGGGGATGGCAGAGCATGGGACAGGACCGCCTCATCTACCCCTGCACCATCCTCCCAGTCTTTGATGTCTCTCATCACTCTGTTGGCATGCCAGCACTTTCTCAATTCCCATGGTACAGCTCATTCTTGTTTACCCCATGGTGCAAACAATCCCTGATCAATCCCTTTTCTCTTTCAAGACTGTGAAGGGAGTTGTGATTATATAACTTTATGGCACACCTCTTGCCTTTGGTTTTGTGTCTTTACAGTAGACCTGTGTGGCATGGAATTTGGGGTGGGATCATCATATTGTTCAAATGATCAAATAAATAATGTTGAATCAATCAGTGTAGTTACTGTATGTGTGCGCCTAAGCCTCATCAATGGTCATAAACGTTGTAAGTGGATTGGCGCACAAAGTAAATTCTCCCACTAATGATGTATACTGAAGAAAATATAAACACAACATATAAAGTGTTGGTCCAATTTTTCATGAGCTGGAATAAAAGATCCCAGAAATGTTCCATATGCACAAAAAGCTATCTCTAAAAATGTTGTGCAAAAAATCGTTTTCATCCCTGTTAGTGAGCATTTCTCCTTTGCCAAGATAATCCATCCACCTGACAGGTGTGGCATATCAAGAAGCTGATTAAACAGCATGATCATTACACAGGTGCACCTTGTGCTGAGGACAATAAATGACCACTCTAAAATGTGAAGTTTTGTCACACAACACAATGCCACAGATGTCTCAAGTTTTGAGGGAGAGTGCAATTGGCATGCTGACTGCAGGAATGTCCAACAGAGCTGTTGCCAGATAATTAAATGTTAATTTCTCTACCATAAACCGCCTCCAACGTCGTTTTAGAGAATTTGGCAGTACATCCAACCGGCCTCACAACCGCAGACCACATGTAACCACGCCAGCCCAGGACCTCCACATCCGGCTTCTTCACCCGCGGGATCGTCTGAGGAGGGTTGGATGTACTGAGGAGTATTTCTGTCCTTTTGTGGGGGAAAAAATCATTCTGATTGTCTGGGCCTGGCTCCCCAGTGGGTGGACCTATGCCCTCAAAGGCCCACCCATGGCTGTGCCCCTGCCCAGTCGTGAAATCCATAGATTAGAGCCTAATTCATTTATTTTAATTCACTGATTTCCTTCTATGAACTGTAACTCAGTAAAATCTTTGAAATTGTTGCATGTTTAGTTCATATTTTAGTTCAGTATATATGTGTCAATGTGAGATATGGCCTTCAAATAAATTACCACATAGGGTACAACTCAGTCAAAGCACTGTAGGCCTACAAGACAATTTATTTGATCATAGCTCGCCATAAATTGTTTGGATTATTTAGGAAGATGAGTGGAGCCCTAAAAATATTGGATTTCTTTCTAAATTGGATGAAGAATTATTATTACCAGATCTCCCTGTCTTACATCTACATCAAAACAACAATTCGTACTAAAAGTTGCGTTACAGTGAAAAGGATCACTTTAATCAGCTATCTATTACTTTTGACTGCTCGATATTGTCAGCATCAACTAGCATGGGTATGTCCCCCATAATCCTTTGCGCGTCACAATAGTTGCCAGTCATTCTGCCGACGAGACGAATGTGAGTGTTGACTGGAGTCAATTAACTAACTGTGAAATGTACGTAGTTTATTTTGACATGTGATATTGCTAGTTAAGTTGTTATTTTACTTGCACCTTTCATTTCAGACAGTATGAAAGAGACAACAGCCAAGAGACGTGAGAAACCCAAGGACTCCAAAGCTGAGAAACAGAAAGATGCGGGCCCAGAGCCGCAGGATGTGGAGATGCCGGAGGAAGACTCGGCTACTGCAGAAAAGAAACCCAAGGAACTTGATACCCTCACACTAGATGGTTAGCTGCGATATAACAGAAATACTGAAAAGGATATATTCAAACTCAATGTCAGATACGGAAGATTGCCACGGAAACAACTGCTTCGGGTTTTTGCTACCTACTGTATTGAATGTTAGTTAGCTAGCTAGTGTTAGCAAACAGTTGTTAGTCTATGTAACTAGTTGGCTAATTTGACAGGTTTCATTGGCAAAATATTGTGTTGAAATGTAGCTATCGTGAGAGAGAATATAGTTCGCTGACCTAGTTCGCCTGTTACTATATGGTCTGACTAACTGCGTTAACGCTGGTCTGACTTTTATTCACTCGCTGTAGTAGTAACTAGCTAGGTAGCTAACGTTAGCTAGCTAGTTGGGTATTTAACAACGAAATCCCCTAGTCATAGCTAGCCAGCGAGCTAGTTAATCCGTTTGCTAGTAATGTTTACTTCAATGTGTGTCAGTTGGAAATCATTTACTGCCGTAACCTGTCAAAACAGTACTTCTCTCTTTTTGTATCTCCAATTGTAGCTACCTAGCTTGTCATGTCAGTAACTACATTGTATTAGCAATGTTTTTTTCTTCTTCAGTTTAGATGAGTGAAAGAACTGACATTAGCTATCAGAATTTTTTTTCACTCTTCCATTAAAGTCTCCTTATGATGTACTCCCCCTCTCCCGTTATAGACATCAAGGAGCATGTGAAGCAGATCGAGAAGGCTGTGTCGGGCAAGGAGCCTCGCTTTGTGCTGAGGGCCCTGCGCGCCCTGCCCTCGACCAGCCGCCGCCTCAACCCCAACGTGCTACACAAGGCTGTGTCTGGCTTCTACACCTCCAACGCTGCCGGCAAGGAGTTCCTACTCAGCTTCCTGGAGGAGGTACAATGAGTGCAGATAGTATCAGATAGAAAAGACTGTGGTACTACTAGTACTACTACTGTTGTTGAGAAACCTTGGCTATGAACTATTACTCATTGCCTTTTTCTCTGTCTCCTTTGCCCACTCGGCTGCTTTGGTCCCATTTTGTCCGGTTCTGTCTTTCCTTTTCCCCTCCTCTACCAACACTCTCTCCCCTCCATTTATTGCATCCATCCAGCCCATGGACACCGAGGGAGATGTCCAGTTCAGGCCCCGTACAGGGAAGGCAGCTGCCACCCCCCTGATCCCTGAGGCGGAGGCCTACCTGCAGCTGCTCCTGGTGGTTTACCTCACCAACAACAAACGCTACACAGAGGTGGGCTGACTGAGCTCACACACTCTCTCATGCCTCTTTCTCGCTCTCATGCATGCACAGTACTTATTTATGTTGGATTGAGCTCTGAATTCTCTTTGGTATTTACAATGCTCACCATCACACTGTAGGCATTAGAAATAAATTATGACTGGGTTAGTGCCAGACTGCCTGTCTTGGTTGTTAGCTTCTCACTTTACTCTCTAGGCCCAGAAGGTGTCAGACGAGCTCTTGCAGAAGATCGGCCCTCAGAACCGGCGGGCTCTGGACCTGGTGGCCGCTAAGTGTTACTACTACCACTCCCGCGTCTACGAGTTCCTCAACCAGCTGGACACTGTGCGTAGGTAAGCCCACCAACACTTTATCACTGACTGTTTTTTTTGTTCATTTTAGATATATTTAAAGTATTTTCTGACTTAATTAAACAGATGGAAAAGGATGACGGTGGGGAAAGATGGAGGTTGTTTCAAAAGGCAGTAGGCCAGTTTAGAACCTATGCAAGTCAATATGTAATGCCTTTGATAAATTTTTCTCGAGACTAGTCGTGTATATTAAACAAAATAAAACCCTTCTCAAAGTTTCCTGCACACGCGTCTGAGGACGGCCACCTTGCGGCACGACGCCGACGGCCAGGCCACGCTGCTCAACCTGCTGCTGAGGAACTACCTGCAGTACAACCTGTACGACCAGGCTGAGAAGCTGGTGTCCAAGTCAGTCTTCCCCGAACTGGCCAACAACAACGAGTGGGCCCGCTACCTCTACTACACCGGTGAGAGAGACTGGGAAGGAGAGAGAGGGGGAGGAGCCCTAAGCATACACATTTCTGTTGGAATAAGGTATCACCCGTGATACATTTTACTAGTTGAAGACATCAGAAGTTGTTTAGTTATCACATTCAATTGAATTATGTTTATCAGGCCACTATGCCTCTACAGGTTTTGAAGTGACTATAAGAAACTGCCTCAGAATATGAATGAATTTGTAGTTATGGCCTTAGTTTTCTGCTTTTCCACTCTGACCATTCTCTCCCTCCCCCCTCCAGGTCGTATCAAGGCCATCCAGCTGGAGTACACAGAGGCCAGGAGGACCCTGACCAACGCCCTGAGGAAGGCCCCCCAACACACAGCTGTGGGCTTCAAACAGACAGTCAGTACACACACAACATGCAGTTTTTCCTCAGTGCATTTATTACATTTTACTCTTTTAGCAGACACTCTTATCCAGTGCGACTTACAGGAGCAATTAGGGTTAAGAACCTTGCTCTAGGGCACATCGACAGATTTTTCACCTAGGCGTCACAGGGATTTGAACCAGCGACCTTTTGGTTACTGGCCCAACGCTCTTAACCGCTAGGCTACCTTATTAAAAAGGAGAAACTATTAGTTGACTCTCAAAATTCCCATAGTGTTTTGCCTGACAATATATTGTCAATCAAACTATTTATAGAGCACATTTCTTACAGGGATGATGCATTTCTTCTTTTTTTAAATTTATAATATTTAGTTTTACATTTCTTCAATTTCTTTCTCCACTTCATACACAAACCTACACACACGAACAACAACTTAGACGCACACAATGACTACATCTCATCTACCCAGACCAGCATGCTCACACCCCCATCCCTAATGCCTGCATTATTGTTATTTTTCAGGGGATGAATTAATAATTCAGGGGATACATTTCAAAGTGCTTAACAAATAAAATTGCCCACTGTATACCACAAAAAAGTTCAGGTTGTTCACAGCTTCTCTCCATCTCTTCCAGGTCCACAAGTTGCTGATTGTGGTGGAGCTGTTGCTTGGGGAGATCCCAGACAGGCTGCAGTTCCGCCAGGCTCCCCTGAAACGATCCCTAGCGCCCTACTTCCTGCTCACCCAGGGTAAATTGGTGGCAAGCTGGGTCATGAGAATGAGTCTTTAGTGTGAGTAAGATGTGAACCCTGGTCTCTGTTCCCACACAGCCGTTAGGACGGGTAACCTGGCCAAGTTCAACCAGGCCCTGGATCAGTTTGGAGAGAAGTTCCAGGCAGACGGCACCTACACCTTGATCATCCGCCTTCGACACAATGTCATCAAGACAGGTGAGTGACCAGGCCTTTCACTTCGGGCTATTCTTCCACATTCTCAAGTGGCTTTCTCTTCTTTTTAAGTTTTTTAATACCTGAATGACTTGTTGATATTTAATACCATGTCTCCCTGTAGGTGTGCGTATGATCAGCCTGTCGTACTCACGTATATCCTTGGCAGACATCGCTCAGAAGCTGCAGCTGGACAGTCCAGAGGATGCTGAGTTCATAGTGGCCAAGGTAACATGATATTCTACAGCCATACTCAACTGGTGGACCTTGGTCCGGACCGGACTCAGAACGGGGTCGATACGGACCGCGGGGCCCTACTTTAACAATAAGAAGTGGATGAAAATATATACTTTTTTTTTTTTTACTTAGTCGGGCTTTCAACTTACTGCTGTTGAGTTGTAATAGTAGAATGTGCAATGTACAATTTTGTAGTGCATGGGCAGTTTTCCTCTGTCATTCACTGACAGACCTTAGAGAGCTATTTATAATTCGTCAAATGTTCAGTTGATCAATTACTAGGCCATTTTAGCTAGATAGGTAAGTTAGGCTAACCAGTTATCTAAATCTTGTAGTGATCTTGGCCAGATTGCGTGCCCAGGGGCCTTGACCGCAGGGATGCCCCCATTTGATTTTGTTGAGTCACTCGGGTATCATGAACACACGACATGGCAAAATGTGTAGAATTGCAGGAAATGAGCTTTAAAAGGGGAACATCTTCTCTCCGCTAACAAGAGGGGGATGAACAGTTTGGGGTCGCATGAGTTTCGAAGTGGGGGTTTGTTCCCACACCGATAAACTACATTATCCATCCAGACCACCTAGGAAATGTGCGACCGGACCTCAAATAGTAGTTGAGTACCCCTGTATTACTATATACCCTTACCTTATCCCCACTTCCTGCGCTACGTCAGCTAATGCAAGGATTTCCTAAAGAGCATTAATAGAAAAGCACATCACTTGTGTGTGATAAATACGGCATGCAGTCCTCAACTGTCCTAAGCCACAGGTGACACAGTGGCAATGGAACACTACCGCAGTCTCGTTCTGATTTTTCTCTCTCCCAACCTCCATCCCTCTCTTCCAGGCTATCCGTGATGGAGTGATTGAGGCCAGCATCAACCATGAGAAGGGCTATGTTCAGTCTAAAGAGACCATGGACATCTACGGTACCAGGGAGCCCCAGCTGGCCTTCCACCAGAGGATCTCCTTCTGCCTGGACATACACAACATGTCTGTCAAGGCCATGAGGTTTCCACCCAAGGCTTACAACAAGGATCTAGAATCAGCAGAGGTGTGTACCAACCCTGTACTACTCCTTGTATTAGCCCCTGAAATTGACCCTAATGAGGGTTCTGTTGTAGGACATGGTAGGAAATTGTTTCTTTGTATCTGTGCTGCAGAACTACCAGTATACTGGTAGCTTGATACACTTATCTCCCTCACTAATTTTAAGCATCAGTTGTCAGAGCAGCTTACCGATCACTGCACCTGTACACAGCCCATCTGTAATTAGCCCACCCAACTACCTCATCCCCATATTGTTATTTACATTATTTTTTTTGCTCATTTGCACCCCATTATTTATATTTGCACATCATTTTCTGCACATCTATCACTCCAGTGTTTATACTAAATTGTAATTATTTTGCACTATGGCCTATTTATTGCCTTACCTCCATAACTTGCTACATTTGCACACACTGTATATATTTTCTGTTGTATTTTTGACTTTATGTTTTGTTTTACCCCATATGTAACTCTGTTGTTGTTTTTATCGCACTGCTTTGCTTTATCTTGGCCAGGTCGCAGTTGTAAATGAGAACTTGTTCTCAACTGGCTTACCTGGTTAAATAAAGGTGAAAAAAGAAATTGAAAGAAAAGTACTATTTTACTACTGTGACCACAAGGGGGCAGTGTTAACTAGTTTTGTCAAATGTTATATTTGGGAATAGAATTTCAGACTAAATACTTACTGTCATTCTAAAATGTTAGCTATTTGCAAACGTAATCATTTTAAGGATGCACTATGCAGAAATCACTCCGCCATTTTCTGGTTGCTAAAATTCTAATAGTTTGCCTAATTTCAGTTTGTGAGAATCATGGTACAATCTAAACCGCTGAGAAATATATTTTCCATAACCAAAAATATTATATTTTCAAAACCGAATGTAAAAGACGCAAAAACGAAACCTAAGAACGGGAGGCATAGAAATGGTGTACATAGAACAGCTCTACCACTTCTTAGACTTGCTTTCAATGAGAATGATAAATCTATAACACAGATTTCTATGTGAATTTGGTCAGGTATCCCAAAAAGTGACATATTGCAGCTGTGTTGACATAATGTGTGTGTGTTTACGTTTCAGGAGCGCAGAGAGAGGGAGCAGCAGGATCTGGAGTTTGCCAAGGAGATGGCCGAAGATGATGACGACAGTTTCCCATGATCCTCTGAGAGAAGCAAGTGCAAGGATGCCTTGTTGTTTTTCCCTTTCTCTCCATCCTCCCTCCCTCTTGTAATAGTTGTTTGTTTGTTTTTCTTCAGGCACAAGGCCATTATAACATTATATATGTTACAATTCTAACATACAGGAAGAACACCTCAATTCAACCCTACCACTGGTCCTCATTGTCCCTGTTTTTAGACTTGGTCATAGGTGTCACTGTAAACTTGTCCCCTCTACTTTTTAAGTACTTGCTGGGAGAAGCATTTGGTGTATCTGTACTGACTTTGAGGCCAGCACACAAATAAACAGTCTTTGTCAATTTAATTTCTCACTTGGGGAACACTCATTTGTACAGTGAATGTCTGGCAAGCTAAGAGCCATTTAGCACAGAGCAGCTTGTATTTGTAAACTTTTCTGTCAGGAATGATGTTAGCTCCTTGATTTTTGTTCTTGCGCAATGCAATTAAATATCTTGGCCGCTGCCCTTTCTAAAATGCAGATATCTGGAAACTCATATTTCAAAATTGTTGTTCAAAGCTCCTCCTGTTCCTTCCTCTGATTATTTAACTTAGTTCCCTCTCTTCCTGCCTCTTATCACAGTTTGCATCCCAATTTCCTTTTCTCACAGAGTGTGCGCTTGTTCCCTTCGCTTCATGGAGTTTAAAGTTAATGACTGGTATAATATAAACCAGTCATGTAATATAACAGTTTCCTGTCAAATTCAAGTGAACAAATGCCCATGTATCCCTTTAATTCATACACTAACAATTGTCATTGTGTCTATGAAAAGAACAAATGTTTGGCTTTGGTGAAGGCTGACAGTAGAACCTTGGTGCATGTTTTTGGCCATTTATCAATGGGAGGGATGATCCATTGTACTATAAAGTTTTTATTTTTTTCTGTACACACCTACTGGCCGGTTGTGATTATTTGTCAAACGTGTTATTGATTTAATTTGTTAACTTAAGATGCAGCTAATACTTGTCTTTCTTTTCATAATACTTTAGAAAATGGATAGGTTCAAAGTGGACAATAAGATTTCAAGAGAACAACGTTATAGGGTCGTGCTTGATTACTCAATGACTAAGGTGAAAATTGAAACTGTCATGGTGCTCTGGAAAATACACTATATATACAAAAGTATGTGGACACCCCTTCAAATTAGTGGATTCCGCAATTTCAGCCACACTCATTGCTGACTGGTGTATAAAATCGAGCACACAGCCATGCAATCTCCATAGACAAACATTGGCAGTAGAATGGCCTTACTGAAGAGCTCAACATGGCACCATCATAGGATGCCACCTTTACAAAAAGTCAGTTTGTAAAATTTCTGCCCTACTAGAGCTGCCCCGGTCAACTGTAAGTGCTGTTATTGTGAAGTGGAAACGTCTAGGAGCAACAACGGCTCAGCCGCGAAATGGTAGGCCCCACACGCTCACAGAACGTGACCGCCGAGTGCTGAAGCGCGTAGCGTGTAAAGATTGTCTGTCCTCGGTTGCAACACTCACTACTGAGTTCCAAACTGCCCCTGGAAGCAACATCAGCACAATAACTGTTCTTTGGGAGCTTCGTGAAATGGGTTTCAATGGCCGAGCAGCCGCACACAAGCCTAAGATCACCATGCGCAATGCCAAGCATTTGTTGGAGTGGTGTAAAGCTTGCCGCCATTGGATTCTGGAGCAGTGGAAACGCGTTCTCTGGAGTGATGAATCACGCTTCACCATCTGGCAGTCTGACAGAGGAATCTGGGTTTGGCGGATGCCAGGAGTGCTACCTGTCCCAATGCAACCTGTCCCAATGCATAGTGCCAACTGTAAAGTTTGGTGGAGGAGGAATAATGGTCTGGGGCTGTTTTTCATGGTTGGGCTACAGCATACAATGACATTCTAGACAATGTGGTCCTCTGTAGCTCAATTGGTAGAGCATGGCGCTTGTAACGCCAGGGTAGTGGGTTCGATCCCCGGCACCACCCATACGTAAAAATGTATGCACACATGACTGTAAGTCGCTTTGGATAAAAGCGTCTGGTAAATGGCATATTATTATTATTATTATAATTCTGTGCTTCCAACTTTGTGGCAACAGTTTAGGGAAGGCCCTTTGCACAAAGCAAGGCCCATACAGAAATTGTTTGTCGAGATTGGTGTGGAAGAACTTGACTGGCCTGCACAGAGCCCTGACCTCAACCCCATCGAACACCTTTGGGATGAATTGGAACGCCGACTGGGAGACAGGCCTAATCGCCCAACCTCACCAATGCTCTTGTGGCTGAATGGAAGCAAGTCCCCACAGCAATGTTCCAACATCTAGTGGAAAGCCTTCCCAGAAGAGTGGAGGCTGTTATAGCAGCAAGGGGTGGGGGGGACCAACTCCATATTAATGCCCTTGATTTTGGAATGAGATGTTTAATGTGCAAGTGTTAACATACTTTTGGTTATGTATTGTAGATTATATTGTCAGGGATCAGTCATAATGATACATTCGATATTCAAGAGCTTAGCATTAGGCACAACAACAACTGGGAAAGCCCTAGCCTACATTAGAACATAATTTATACAATCAAAACTTGCCTAAAGTACTGTCATGCCAATTCTGGAAGTGATATAGGCTACTAATAAATAGCATGATAAATGATACATTAAGAAAACGGGAATAAGGCCGGTTATTACCTAAGTGATTTGTAAATCAAGAGCACAGAGGGCACACCTTGCAATCAAGAGTGTCTGGGGTTGAACTCATTGTGCAATGCCCATAGCACAGCCTGAAGTAAGACTACTGTACTTGGTGCGGAAATAAAGATTTCACAAATGGGGATATTCGTCTTTAATTGTTCTGACACATCAAAATATGAAGTAAGCATTAGATAACCCAACCGTATATCCTTTGTATAAGCCTACTCAGAGGGTAGCATATGTGAAATATCGAATTGCTACAACTAGAGTTGTGAAATTATGCACATGTATTTTCCCTGAGTAATATCCCTACATGAACGTCACTGAAAATTCCTTGAGGTTGTTTCACTTACAGCTCGCCATGATGTCAACACAGATTCACGTGCGAACTCTCCCTGCAAGTGTGTTTGGCTGTGCGACTGTATTGTAGAGCGCAGATCGCAGCGCGACCGTGCACTACAGGCTATTGAATTGAATAAAAAACTCGTGTGACATTTTTCTGAATTATAGGCTACAATGAATTTCCCATCCACAAATGACAAATAAGAGTAAAATAAATATTTATTTTGCACTAGGAAATAAAATAACATTGGGCCTAATAATATAACAATAATAGCATTATAATAAATGTATTACAGCAGAATAGAAAAATTAGTCTTATATAGCCTAATAGGCCAGTTGTGTTTCTTGTATCATAAGCGCAGCTTTAATCACCTCCATTTATCTTTATCTGTATATATTTGCTCTTGTTCTGGTTTTTGAATGCACGCCAAAGTATAGCAAATTCACCAGGAGGTGGGTAGCCTTATCGTCTATTAAAGCCAATTTATGCTTGATCTGAAAATGTGGTTGGAGGCTTCGAATGGCGCGTGACGCACTTGCGGAGCCTCAAGATACGCAGAGGCCAAATCAAGGTCTGTACGAAATCACCATGTGCCTCTAAACATGTTTTACATGATTGGTTGACCGTAGGTGGGAGCGGGAGGTCCTGTATAAACACAAACTCACTTCCTTTACAACTTTCTTCACAACAGCTGAGATTGACGTCTGCCTTTAAATCACTGACTGCGTCCGAAACCTGGCTTGCCTACAACTTACTTAAAAATGCATACTGTATAGACCTCCTAATCGTACTATGCACTAGTTAGCACATGTACTGTTTAGCCATG